GTCGAGTACTAATTTATTTAGCACCATTGCGGCTGGGACACGGTAGCCGTTCGCCAACGGGGATTCCAGCACGCATAATCGCGTACGTACGTGCGCCAGAATCGCTCCTCTCGTTTCGAGACAGCTGCGTGCTGCGTCTCGAGGAACGTGGTGTCACGGGTCCGGGTCGAGGCGTCGTTCTCTCCGAGTTACCTCCTTTCAGGGCGTAGCCTTGCCTTTTGTCCTTTCTTTCGCGCGGCACAGGACAGTACGAATGTTATTCGCATGGTGACGATACGACCACCACGACAATCGCCGAGTCACTCGGTTAATGCTTAGTTAAGTAATGGGCAGCGCGCCAAGTCACGAGCTCAACAAATAATAACCTACCACTCGAAGCGATGGCCATGGCGTCAAATCCTTCTCTTCTTCCTTCTTCTCTCGCGTAACGGACTACCTTGGCCCCGAGAAGACTAATTCTAACTCTACCCCGGAAATGGAGGATGCATTTTACCCGCTCGCGAGCCCAACTCGCGACATGTGTCGGCTGAGTACGGAAAGCGATCTTGTGTACAGCGAGGACCTTTCATCTCCTTCATCCCCGCGTACAGTGATGGACCAAATAATTTTAAGGGCTACGTTTCTAAATCTTTTTCTTCAAGGAATATTTTACTCGATGGCCATTTCGAAACCATTTTCAGCGTTTCCGATCTATTCCTCGAGTACCTAAACTCTTTCAAAAAAAAAAAAACAAGTGTCGTAACCATTCTGTCCATTACTGTACATGCCACGATAAGCGCAAGAGTAGCATCCACTATGAATTAAAAAACACACAACTACGCAGAAGCGATAGTCCTAACGCGAGTACTATTGACATCTATTTTTCTCGACTGTATCTACTCATAGGACGTCACAACACTGTTATTTTCAGTAATATGTTTCTACAGGAATTATAGAAAAATAATGAGATAAATTTTGTACGAATGTTCCAAATAAATTTTTTTTATGCCATACACATTCCTTTGCTGTCTATTAATAATTATAAAACGGCTTCTGTTTTTACGCACAATAAAATCGCTCGTAAACTTTAACAGATATTAACTGCAATTACTGCAAAAATATGTTAAACATATAAATGTTATAACACTACACTAATTATATGTGATTACATGTTAAAGACCACTCATTTATGTGGAAACAGAAAAGTAAAGAATTGCAAGTTGTAATGCCAAGTCACTGTCGTATTATATGTAACTGTACTGTAAAAACTCGTTCTCAGATTCAGCTCACTCTATTCGACGTACAAATTAGTGCTAATTGCGTAGCTTATATGTATGTATAACTTATCTTAATTTTGATTGTAAGATTATAACGAGAACAACCATTAAATAGCTCAATTTAAGACATAAATCTTTCAAGTTGACACTACCTAATCGGCACACACAAAATCGAGGCTGTTACAGAAACAGATTTTTTGCATCATTATAAAATTATTCTTATAAATTTTTATAAAATGAGAAAAAAATTGCTCCTTGATATAAACCTCATAATTGTCTTAATTCTTACGGTAGTAGTCGTTTTCTATTCAATATAAAATTCATGACGCCGCATTTCATATTGAAATCTTGCGAGTAATTTCGGTCTCTCTCTCTCTCTCTCTCTGGATCTGTCTATTTTTCTTTCTATCGCTTTCTATCTGTCTTCACTTCTCTCCGCGGAACCTCGTTGATCTGCACCAATAATCTCAATATCCGTATGCGCGATATGATGCGTATCACCATTCTGTCGGTTCGCCTAGAAACTTGCTGAAAAGCCGAGTGTCTGAAGTGAATGCAACTCGCGTGCAAACGCGTTAATGTCCGGAATGGTTTGAATGGATCATGAGTAGTAACGGCATTGATACTCGCACAAAGGATGTATTTGTATCATATTTTACCGATCTTTTGCAGGCTATTATTGTGCGAGCGGGTCAACACTTTCTCGAGATATTAATTTTTCAGGCATCTTAAAAATCTGTTGATTCACAGCGTCGCGAAATTGATAAAATATCAAACTATTTACCATTTCTACAATGTGTAGGAAAAGGTGTCGCTTCTTGAGCTTCCAGGTGAAGATCTCTTACAATAATTTTGAAAAGAATTTTCTTCGAAACTGATGTAAGAAGTACACTGGCGCGGATCACTCCTCGGTGGTCGGCGAGAAACTGCATTTTCCCCTATATGGCATCCGCTATCGGACGACAGGAAACACTTCCAATCCTTGATAACACTATGTGTTGTTAATTAATTTTTTTAACTGACCTATCTCAAACGCACAGGCCGTTATCTATCGCCGCATTTCACAGTGTTTCATCGAAAAAGAAAATTTGTTAAATGAATATTTAAATACGTGCACAAATTTCGGTATTAATGTGCCCAAAGTGTGAAATGGACATTTTTCAATATAAACGTTTACATAGCGTTCGCTGGATTTGTTCTAGCCGACACTCGTACTATTGTTAATCGCGCGATTTCTCTGGATCTTGATGAACTCCGGCGCGCAAGGCGGCTCACGTCAGCCGGTGGTATCTACGGCATATGCACCACTTTCGAACTTTTGACCTGAAAACGAAGAGTACGGTCGCATGGGGAGCACGTAGCCGTAAGTTAGCACGAGGTTTGCGGTAGAGAGATGCTACTGAATCTCGCTCAAAGTTCAGAGGTACTCGCACGACCCCCAGGGCAAAGGTACCAAGTAAAGTATCTGTATGCATCTGAAATTCAACCAAGGTCTCAACAAGTCTCGTCACCGACTTCTTCATTGTCGAACACATGCTTCACCGTACACTCAAATTCACTATACATATATTACTTCTGCCAATTGGTAAAGGCATTTAAAAAGCTACATTCAAGAAGCTCTTATGCGATAAGTTAAATCAATAAGTTGTCAATCAGACTACTTGATCTTGAACAATAAAATGTTATATAAATGTTAAACAAGTCTTGATTATTGTGTTACATGATCGAATTTAAATTAAAAACTTTCCTATTCCATAGGACCGACATCGATCGTTGTTATTAAACTATACACTGGACGATTAAGATGCAGCACGTTTGCGCAGCATTAATTGGCTACATCGCCTCTGATAGAGTAGGTTGCTTTTTAATTAAAGTCAAAGTCATTGATATGCACCTGACAGCGTTAAGAACATTCACCGATACAAGAGGACAAGACAATAGCTGGTGACCCTGTTTCGTGACGTGCGAGCGAAAATGCGCATCACGTGCGCCCGGACAGTGTCTGTGGCTACTAGCGCGTCTGAGGGATCAACGGTTTAGATCAATGGTCCGTAGATACCATTAAGGTCGCCGGGAGAAAGCCAAAGATGAAAGAGCGCCGATGCTCTTTTTTGCGTCGAGCCATTCCTTTCGTTGCTATTTAAACGATGGCTAGTCAAGATAATATAAAATAGCATTCATGATTATCACGGCATGAATGCGAAAAAAAAACACAGAATCTTGTATTAAATAATTATACGCTCGCGCGTGTACTATCGTGTTCCGTCTTGTAAGTATAGAGGAAAGTCCCGTATTATGAGAGATAAGCTTCTAATATGAGACAGCAGGTTTTCAACATCCAAATTCAATGACAAATCTTCTCTCGCGCAATGATTACGCGATCTAACAATGAATTTTCCGCTAAACAGGGACAATAAATTCGTGGTGGAATCAACAGATAACGTCTATTAATTTAATAGAAAGATCGCTATCTCATAACAGAGGATATTGATGAGATCTGCGTAAAACATTATGTCACGGCAAACGAGTTGCGCTTGACGCTCGATATGCAACTTGTAATCGCGCGATCACACGTTAGACGAGAAACATCCGGAGCATCTCGCCACGGAGCATTCTACTCTCGGAAATGACGGTAGCAAATACTAGGTAGGCAAAGAGAGAAGTACTGCCTTTTAGGGCAGTTAAGTGCACACAACGCTTCAACTTGTATTTCGTTTCCTCGTCACTTCTCAAGCCGTCTGTGGCCTCACATCAGATCAAATCGAATGAACCGTCGCGCGTTCTGTCCTGCCTCTCGCGCGACGCCAGACGAACGCGCTTATGTGGACGATCTCGCGACCCCGATCTTTCTAAGAACGCGCGAACTGGCAAGGGACTGCACCACGAGTTTTTAACGCAATCGTGAAAACGAAAAACGTTCCTTTTCTCTTTAGTTGCGAAGACACTTACCGCGAACAGCAACCGAGCTGACCGAGACCGAGTTGGCTAATAATGTTGTAACGCGTCATTATGTCTGATGCATACTCGAAGAAAAAGGAAATTTCATTGCATTTCATATTGTTGTCGAGGAAACGTTATTCTTGACCAACAGACAACTATTGATAGAACGTTGATTGGCGAAAAGCCGATTCTAATGAATCTTTGATGGTTGAATGGTTTGTATCGAACAGTTATCGGAATGCCTGTGTGTAGAGCAACGTGAGCTTGAAAGTTGAAATATTGATACAATGTGTGAGAGGAAGTGAGGTTTTCTCTGAAATCTAGGACTCACAAAAATTCGCAAGGATCATAAGATGGGAGGATTTCTCCGTCTGACGTGCACTCACGTGATCTAACATCACACATTCGCGAAGGCACGCCGTTGAGCGAGGAAGATTCTCCGGAACGGAGCTGCGATTGATCGATTTTGAAGGGATCCGAAGAATGTCGACGACGAAAGGACAGTGGCGTCGATGGCAGTGGCGTAGTTTTGGGTAAATGTGTCGAAGCTCGCGAGAGACATCTCTTCTCCTCGGTCTGCTCGGCTGTCCAGCTCTGGCTCCTGCACCATTGGCATCGCCAGCGCTATCGTCGCCACCGTTGTCCAGTTGTTCCTCTTTCTCTCGACGTCGCTTTTTCGCTCTCTCGCGACGCGCTGCCACCGCTGCCACCGCCGCCGTCGTTGCTTCTGCCGTTGCTACATCCGCCGCTTGCAGACGTACTATCCCTGTCCCCTCCGCGAGACCATCCTCTTATTCCCACTCCTTCTGCGGAGCACCTGTCGTGCCAGGGAGTTGGGCGCGTTAGGGGCGTTCGACGGAGGTAAGTAGACGGTGGGTTATCAGTCGGCGGAACATCTTCGTCGCGAACGGGAACTCGGCAACTCGGCAACTCGCGAGCTCCCTGCTGTGCTAACGCGTGTAGGGAAGAAACAAGAATCGGGTGTGGAAACATTTATTATCTATGCTCTATCGAAACTGCGAATCACCGTTCCGTTTCGCACGAAAAAGCTAAGTAGCTGAAAGAGGAAGACCGCTGGTGCCTTCTAGCCTTTCCTCTTTAAGGAAATCACGAGCGTCCCGTTACATATTACATAGAGTCACATTCGGCTGAGATTTCCCGGCCGAGACAAGAATCTCGAGATATTTCCGTCTTACTTCCGCGATAACGATGACCGCGACCGCGCCAAGGTAAACGTCAGCAAGGAGGTCACGGCGCCGGTGAATTGTGTTAAGTGCGCCAAGCGACTTATTCAACGAGGTCCGCGAGGGATCTCACCATTAGTAGTGTACACGACGGTGAACGACATACATTCGGCGAGATATAGCGTCTTAACGGTCGATATCGACGCGGCGAGAAAGAGAGAGAGAGGGAGAGAGAAAGAGATTTTAAAAGGCACTTTTTAATACTATTAGCCCGTATAAGTGGCGGATAAAGTTTCCGGATCAAGGCGAAAGCGAAACAATAAGAGAATAAGAAAACTGCCGGGATGCTGCACGAGGAGCTATTGAGCTCCAGCTAACACGTGGCGATTACGCGCACACTCCGCAGTTGCAAGGTGAGTCTTACTACTTGCGGACTGTTATTACTACTGCTTTCCTTTATCAGACTTTTCTTTAATATATTTCATACAAATTGGCTTTACGTGCTTGTCTCGCTGTCTTATCTGAAATTTAACTTGAACAATTATCAATTAAAAAGGTGGTATGAAAAACATTAGAATGCCTTTCAGCTACCTCAAGATTAATCGGGATTAGCAAGTAGCTTTAACATTTCATGTAAAAGAGTAGGCGTCGAAGAAACGAATTACTCGCGATCCGCACTTGCGTGATCTGCTTACCGATGTAAACGCGTGCGAATAGAATGACCGCGCCGAAACAACCGGGCGGATAAGGTTCTTGTATGAAGAAATTGGGAGGGGAGAGAATGTGGTCGGTCGACAGGGGCAAGGAAGCCTCGCTAAATTTTCGTGCCGCTGGTCCGGACGCAATGTGCCTGAGATCCCCACGTGCTTTTAAACCGCCTCTCTCTCTTGCATCCTTCATCTCCCTCTAATTTATCCCTCTTTTACTTCATCTCCTTATGTTCGTTCATCTTTACCTCGCTCTTTCGTTGACCGCTTTTCTCTCCATCGCTTCTTTCTCTCGCACGTATAGATAAAGACTTCGTTCGAGCGGATCATCGACTTCACTCTCCTCTCTACGCTCCTTTCTTTTTCGCTTTCTTTATCTTTCTCTCTCCCCCCTCTCTCTCTCTCTCTCTCTCTCTCTCTCTCTCTCTCTCTCTCTCTTCCTCGCTGTCTCTACTTTCATGGGTCTTTATCCCTCTCCCGCCTCTTTGGAGTCGAACTGATCAGCCAACCGCTCTTTGCGGAGCCTCGAGACGGCCAAGAGTTAGCGCACGCATTCCGGTTAGCGGTCCGCCAAACGCATTGCCGTTACCGCTTCTTCAGCTACCGCCGTTGTTGTCCTCGTGTCTGTCGCCGTCGTCTCGCCATAAATGTCGGTCAACCCTTACTTTCTCGATGTAGGAGAGAATAGATTCGGTTGGCCGATAGATCCATGCCCCTTTCATGCTGAGAAATTAACAATTGAATAAGATTTAATTAAATCAATTCTCCTGCTCCAATTCGGCGAAAAACATGTTGATTCTTGCGAAAAGTAGGACGTCGATTCCGGCCATTTCCTTCTGTATGAAGTGACATATTTAAAGCAATTTTTCAATTAGATCACCAACAAATTAAATGTCACCTTTTGTCACAAAATCGATGAATTCGCGCGGCTCGTTTCGCGACGTACATACACGCATGTAATATGCTATTACGTGAATTCGCGCTGCGACCGAATACCACCGAGATATAAAATGCGCGAGTATATGTGAACCGGATCCGAATAAGCCGGCATGCATACGCGTGTATCACGGATGCGATTTGTGTGTACGTATACATCGGCCGAGACAGAATTTCCGTGAATCACTGATCGCGTGTATACGCGCAGCCATTCGAAATTGTGTCAGGCATTTCTACATGCTATTCGCCATTCGCGTTTAAGAATAACGTCATTCCGCAACAAATTAGTAGCTGATTTAATGCGTTTCGAGACATGTAAAATATTTCATGCGTCACATAATTTGACCTTGTTGCAAGCTTGCAAGTTAGATAGAAGAATTTTGTGAAACAACAGTATCGATGTTATGCAAGCTCTTCATTTCTGGACTGGACTGCACTCGTGTGCATACCAGCCTCGCTAAATTCACGGTTCGCACGGCGGGCATTCTTTTCGAAATTTGCATCGAAATAAGTCGCCGAACGTCCGTTTGCCCTCTCCGCCCATCGTTGGCGAGCAAAAGGAGTACGCTAACGGTTTTCGAACAGGTGTCATCTCTTTTTTCCGCGCTTCATGAAATATTCACCAGGCATACGATTACGTTAGTACGGGCCGCACTAATCCATCCGTCGACGACGTCGGGGCATTCAACTTGGCCGCATATACGTCTTGGAATCGCGCCCGACATAACTTTGCATTCGTTTGTCAATGTAATTCCTTGGCGAATTAACATTACCGTGTCGCGACTTTGCCTATTTGTGCGCCGAGACGCCGTACCGTGGGAATAACGATCCTTAATTTTTCTCCGACAGTACCGAGAACTATCGCTCATTTACGGATGCTTCATTCAAAAAGACCCGCTTCGTAACAATTATGATTCTCTTGTGACTAGAGAATCAATAATCTTCTGTAAGGATAACGTAATAAAGGATGGTATTCAATCATTTTCCCGTATTAAGGGCAGATTTTACTTAGTAAACGTAATGTAATAATTTAACGCGCTAGTAACAAATATTTTCAAAGAATTTTTATTCGTCAGCCTTTAACCGTCAGCCTTCTTCTTCAAGTGCCATTATGTACTGTCGGAACAAGGTCCTACCTTTTGAACTTAAATAAAACTGTTAAAAAGGCCAAATAAATGTGGAAATGGAATTCAATTCTTTCTTGTGCCATCTATCGATCTTGCCACGTAATATACGATTATACTTGTATATCGCGTTCGTATGACCGTAAGATATCGCAGACATCTATTTACGGCATGCACGATTTCATTCTATCCGTATGTTTACACAGACAACGGCGACTATCACTTTATAGCATATATCAGTCATCGATTCCCTGTTCGTATCCTGCTTTCTAAAACGCATATCCAAACTGTTATCGTATTTCAAGGTACAACAGAGCGTGAATAATTTCTAATATTTTGTACATACGTATATTGCGAGTCGGTCGCAATACTACACCGCGACATCGTAACAGCGAACAGTTAAATCATGAATGAATCGCAAAACCGCTTCGTCATGTACTCGACATTATTTTTACATTCATTAATTATCTACATTCATTGATTAGTTGTCTCTTCCAGTACTTGACAGAAAATTGTAAACATTGACAAAATTGACGAGAAGACTTATCTATCCCTCGCAGTCGCGTTATATCGCGAGATAAATGTAATCGGTAAAAGTCACCACCCATCAGCAACATACCAAAGAGAGAAAGAGAGAGAGAGGAAGAAAGTCAACAAGTGGTCATCGATGAAACAATAATAACGAGGTCGAAGATTAAGAACTTCATAACGGGTGCCCATGTAACCCAGTCAGCAAAATGTTAACAGATTAGCATCAGATTGGCAGCAGATTCATCAGAAACCCACACCAATAGCCGTGTCCGCATTTGGCTTTTGTTTTGACAACGGATTGTCGGTAGGAAGATTGCATACAGGAACTGTTGCCATGACGTCAGCAGAAATACAACAAAATCTACTCACATAACTGGACCAGTTCGGTTTCTCCCGACAATCAGTTGACAGCGTACGTTTTACAGACTCTGTTGTCAAAACAAACGTCAAATGGTTTTCCGATAAATCTGCTGCCAATCTACTAACATTTTGCTGACTGGAATACTAGCGAACATTTACGATGCTCTGTACAGATGTATACACCAAATGACTGTAGTTATATCGCTAGAGCAATACTTGACACTTTCACGTGTAGTCGCTGAGCATCCAATCATTCGAATCGCACGCATCGTTTTACAAATGCCACATTGTGCACTAGAATTGTATAAAGAGAGAGAGAGAGAGATTACAAGAAATAAAAAAATGCTCGTAATAAATTTCGTATTTACGACATAGGAAGCCCGCGGAAGTACGTTTATCAGCGAGGTGTTGATAACTATACAGGTACAGCTGCCAATAAGCACAGTTCTTACCCTGCATTTATCCATAATCACATCGCGTGTGCACACGCGTAACGTGCTGTGCACGCGTGTACGCGTTCTCTACACGCGCTATTTCTCATCGAGAAGACATTCCGCACGCGATAATTGTCCCCGGTGGTTTCCGTCGCAATGACGATCATTGGGCCGCATTAACCGTTAATGTTAACATAACCGATCTCGATCGTGGTGAATGGATCGTAAAGTCAATTACGCGCGCGGTTACGACTCGTGGACCGAATCCCAGCTCCGCGCGCCGCATCGGCACGCTCGTTTCACTCCCGCATCCTTTTCGATTTGCCGAGTAATAAATTCCGGGGCACGTACATACACAACGCACACAGCAGCGGGGAAGAAAGGGCTGCGATTAAATGGAATAATCTCAAAGTTATGCCGCGCTCGAGCGAAACGGTAAATTTCAACGTACCTAGTGTCATTGGCCGATCAATGCACGGTTAATTATCGCGTTTATATTTCGTAATAACTTTAATTGCGCGCGCGATATCATCGATATCCGTATTGTATCGTACGCGTGTACGTCTGTAACACGGAGTAAAGATGAGCTATAACGGTACGGAGCATAATCGAATCACATAAGAAATGAATTAATGATGCAATCTACTCTTTCATCAAATCGATACCGTACTATTCCTTTCTATTCTGTTTTAACGAGACGCGATGTATATTAATATATATATATATATACGCAGGCTACATTATCCACGAGATTAACATACATACAAGATTGTGCAACATCAGCGTGACGATCCAAATCAATTGTACCCCCATTGTGTTCTACGACACAATCAAACGGAAAAAAGGAAAGTGACTATTTTATACATGACAATTGGTACTTTGGAAGGTCTGCCGAAACTTTCTGGACATTCTATAAATCTCTGGAACGTTTCTACGTGCTACCATATAAATACTAGCATAAGAATAGAGAGTTGATTAACGTTCTTTTTAATAATATTTAGTCGTTTCTATTTATATAACACAATTGTTGGAGAAAAAAATGTTTTCACGATAATATCATGTACAAGTGTCATGTAAATAGTGTATTAAGTTGAAAATTTGGCAGTCACATTTACGGTATATTAATACTAGTCATTACCTCCGGCACTAAGCGGTACGTTTGTTGGTACGCAGTGCACGATCGTGTTCCGGAGAATTTATAAAGCTTATCGCCGTACGGTTGTCGAGTATTAAACGGCCAGAAGAAGAGGAGCCGAACCTGGTAACGCTATCTTGACCCGGTTCGCAGCGATGAATGTTTCGCCAAGTTCTTTTCGAACAT